CATAGTTAAATTAAATCTACACCATTTAAAATCTACCTTTTAATCACTAAAAATGACTAAAATAAAAATTAATGTAATAGTTTTCATAATAAAATAGTTTTAAATAAAATAAATATCTAACAATAATTTTGCTTTGATTTAAAAAACTGTAAAACTATATACAAGAAAACATAAGGAAAGATCTCTGTAACCTTGGCCTAGGTGAGGATTTTTAGGTATGACCCCAAAAAGCACAGGCAACAAAAGTCAAAACATAAATGGGATTATATAAAACTAAAAAGCTTCTGCACAGCAAAAGAAGCAATAAGTGGGGGCTGGGATGTGGCTCAGTGGCAGACAGCTTGCCTGGCACGCACAGATCCTGTGTCCAGTTCCCTGCACTGGAAGGAAAGAACGAAGAGAGAACTTACAAAGAAGTGAGAAAAAGATTTGCAAATTATGTATCTATCAGGGAGATAATACCCAAAATTTATAAAGAACCCCAAACAACTTAACAGCAAAAAAACCCTAAAATCCATTTAAGAAATGAGTTTAAACCAGATACTGGTGGCTCATGTCTGTAATTCTAGCTACTTGAGAGACCCCATCTCCAAAATAACCAGCGCAAAATGGACTTAAAGGTGTGACTCAAGAAGTAGGGCACCTGCTTTGTAAGCATGAAGCCCTGAGCTCAAATGCCAGTCTCACCTAAAAAGGGGGCTAAAAAAAATTAGTTTAAAATAAACTATTAAAATAGTTTAAATGTTAATTTAAAATAAAAATGCTTGAAATATTGTTATGTAAACTTACCAAATCAGTGCTTTCAGTAAGATAAGACACAATCATAAAATGGAAAAAGGAATACAGATGTCAGAAACATGCAATATAGAATACTTACTGCAGTATCATTTTTATAAAAAGCAAAAGACTACAACAATGAAGACAAGGCAGCGGCATTTGGAGACTGAAAGCAATTTGATTTATTTAACTTTGAAGAACAAAAGCTTATTCTTCTAAGAAGAAATCCAAACACATTTTCAGTGGAAGAAAAGAAACCATTTAAAACAGCATTGCCAAAATAAATCAGGCAGGGTGTAAGTTAGAACTAGCTACAAAAAAAAGAACTCCAGTCAAAAAAGCAGAGTGAGAAGGGGGAGGAGAGGACAAACATCTGATTTTGTATTTCAAAAGAGCCAAGGAAAAGAGGTAGAAAGGAACCCTGCCCCAATCTTGATAACATTCCCTTCAGAATTCGTCCTCCAGTCCTCCTCAGTATCCTTGAGATACCGAATTCTAAGGATGCCCAAATGCTTTATACAAAATGGCACGGTGTTTGCATACAACCTATACACATGCTCCTGTGTACTTTAAATCATCTCTAAGTGACTTACAATATCAAAGGCAATGCAAATGCTATGTAAGTATTACCATGTATTGCTTAAGGAATAGTGACATGGAAAAAGTGAGTAAGTGTTTGGTATGACACACTTTTTTAAAAAAATATTTTTCAATCCCTGGTAAGTTGAATCCACAGGTGCAGAACATGTGCTTATGGGGATCAACTAAGTCTAGATATTATTAAAAAAAAAAAAAAAAAAAAAAAACCTTCAAAAAAGGAAAAAGAAACCTAACCAATGAGTGGATCATTTGAATATTCAAATCTACTCTACGGAGAAATTAAGTATTCCAATAAAAAAAGTTAGCTAAAAATTCAACTTTAACAAAAATTTGGGAAAAATACAACTTTGCAGGCTATATTCAACTACATAAAAGATATATAGACAGAACACCCTTCACTGCTGGATTAGCTATATTTTAGGGACAATCTTCTGATTCAGTCCAGAACCTAAGATTTTGGCCCAAATGGAAAATTTTCAGATTTCTCTAGTTGAGAAACCAAATCATATTGAATACCCTAAACATACTTTTTCTTGGAAAATATAAGAGAAATAGCAAGAAAATTTTTAATGAACACATATTTTTTAGAACACTAATGACCACTCTTCCATCTTTTTTCAGTGTTCATGTTCTGTTAGGGTAAACTGATGTGGTCACCCAGCAGGTCCCCAACCTGAGACCTGCTTTTCATGGCACCAGTTGGATGAAGTTTATGACACCTGAAGCCAGGTTGCCTAGGTTTGACATTAAGCTCCATCATTTTCCTGCTGACAACTCTAATCAAGGTGCTTAAACTCTGCACTACCTACTGCTGTCCTAAATATTCAATAAGTAAACCTCAGATGGCCTTTCAAAGCATGCTAGGTACAGAGTACCCCAAAGCTGCATCATAATTAGTTTAGTCCTTGGTCATAGGGATTCAAAATATTATTCTCTCTCTGTTGAGTTTGAAAACTTCCACAATAAAATTTTTTCTTTTTAATTTCAAAACTGGAAAGCGCTAGAGGCCCAAAGACTACATTTCCTTTCTAAGGGCACTAGTGTGAATGTTGCTGCCTTAGATGGCACATCCCAGAGTAACTACCCTCTGCTGACAGCCAGCCATATCCCAGACACTGTCTTGGCACTCTCCTTAAATCAGCACACTTAATATCTTTATTTCACATTCGATCAAAGCAGGGATAAGGACAGTTAAGTCCTATATCCAAATGATGAAGCTCTGCAGAGAATATCAAATCCTAATTCAGTTATACGTGGTTAGGATTTCAGACAGTAAGATCAAATTCCTGTAGTCAGAATCTGACAGAACTGGGGCCAAGAAAGCCAGCTGAGTAATCCTAATTCTTTTAACCTTTCCAAATCTTGGCAAGGGTCCAATCACGATTGAGTGTGACAAGAGGGTCACCTTGCAGTTCCTGCCTGACTCTAAGCCATGACTCCTTAAGCAGACAGCCTGCTCCACTGCTGGTCCCACTGCCCGCTGGTGGGCACATGCACGTCATTATGGCCCACACTTTCTTTTTAGCTAAGTTGGCCAGGCTTTTCTGGTCTTAGACTTGACTAGCCAGCCACCTCTCTTCCCAGACAGGCAAATCTTCACTGCCTTTAGTCAGAATGCTACTCTAACTTACTAAGGTCACTCAGTAGTCCACATCTAACTTCCAAGGTGCCACTTGCTCTGCCCAATGAAACTTTTCCAATGAGGAAAGTGTTCTGTCTGCAACGGCCCAAAGAGCAGACTTCCTGAAGACTTCGAACCTGACTAATGTAAGTGCAGAACTAAATTTTTACTTTTAATTGACTTAACTAACTTTAATTACTTAGTCACAGCTGAGTAGTGGCTACCATATCAGACCATAAAGTTCTACGTCATCTGGAAATGTTCTCCACTCATGGGTCTGGGGCTGTCTCTTGGTGAGCATCCTAGGTTGATGGACATGTGGCTGTGAATAAATCTGCAGTCATCCACATGAAAATCTTGGCTCCTCTTTTCAGATGTGACCTTTGATATGTAAACTACCCAACCCACAAATCAGTTTCCTCATCTGCTAAACTTGGATAGTCATGTCAGCCCCACCAGGGGATGTTTACAATGACACTAGAGATATGTATCATAGGACATCCTTCTTGGCTCCCTTCTCAAGGCCTCCAGAACTGACTGAGACAAAAAGACAGATTTTTCTGCATGTTTCTCCTCTTTAACAAAGGCCTCTATTTGCCTTCTAAACTAGGAAGAAGCCAGATCTCCCCAAAGGTAAACCGCAAGAACTAGCATCATCAGAAAGTTATCAATATCAACACCCCTATGCCTTAGGGAATTCAGGAGCACAGCTCTTCCAGATTCCTTCTGCAATACCTCAGCTCCTTCAAGCCTGGTAGTTTACTGCAGAATCTTCAACCAAAGCACCACTTCTCCCCTCTACTCAGCCCCACCTACCAAGGGAATTACTCAGCAACCTGCAGCTTGACCAAGCAGCTCTGACATGCTAGATCCTGGGCTTCCATGCTATTCCACAGAAATCTCACTGCCACCCCTCGAGTCAGGTAGCATCATTTCCATTTGCCAGGGAGACACAAAAACCTGGGCACACTGCCCTCGGTTCCCCTGTTAGAGTAGCAACTAGAATTTGAACCTGGCAGCCGGGCCCAGGTTCAACTCTGCTGTTTCCATGTGCCAGCTCCTTGACCCTCACCCTCTCTCCCTTTGTTCTTCAGCTCTCCTGTCTTGAAGTTCAGGCTAGGACAGCTTCGTTGGAGCTCTGAGCTCTAAGAGCACCCCCGCTTCCTTTCCCTTTTACACATAGTAAGCATAAAAAACATAAATGTTCTTCAAGCAGAACAGAAAGGAAAGCATGAGACAAAAGCTAAATCGGTAGCAGTATCACAGGGTTATGTTTTATTTTTCTGTGTAGTATCTTCCAAAATTAGAAATGCCAATCCAAGAAGCATTCAATATTTCAAAATACTTGGTAGAAAGAGTGATATTGCCACTGAGCATATCTCAGAGAAGTTTCCCTACTGAGTCCTATTTCAGAGTAATGCTCCTATTGAAGGAGGTTATTTTCTTTGATGTGACTTATCATATAAAACCGGTTTCTCATTCAAAGGAAAAAGCACTGGCTTGCTTACTCCAGCCTTTTGCAGATCAGTTTCTCTACAAATGACAAAAATACATGTCATTTGGCCTATGTGGTTTTATGCAGGAAGTTTAAGAAGATGCCAACATTTAAAAACATGTGGTTATTTCACATCTTAAGTCTGGATTTTGTCCTTTGTTGAGTAAATGAAGTAGCAATGCTGGGCACTTCCTGCCTTAACTAATGCAAGCCCTACCAATATGTGACATAACTTCCAGTTTTCCACAGTCCCCACCATTCCATATTGCCTCATATGTAATCCTATATACTCATTACATAGGCCAAGACCCTGGCAGCACTGAGTCTACAACCTGTTTACAAGAAGCTCTGGTCAAATAAGTAAGCATGCTCGGCTGCCCTCAGTCTTACCGGTCTCAGGAAAGCTATCCCATTTCTATTAGGTCACAGGCTTCAGGGAGGCTCTCAGTACCTTCTCCCCACCATGCACACCAGCCCAACCTCAAACTCACCCAAACTATAGCTCACCTGCTACTCTGTGTCGCTTCGTTCTATCTTCACAGGTGTCACAGGCAGCTCTCCGTTGACGCTTTCAGTTCCACTAACTGACATCAAACTTCTCCGCTCCTTCTGGTTTGACTTGTGTTCCACTTTTGTAACTCTAAACCTGAGGGGGAAGAAGGGTTCTGATGGGTTTGCTTTTCCAGTAAGCAGAATTATTAGACAATAGACCAGGATGTGCTCAGTGGCAGAGCACCTGCCTAGCATATGCAAGGCTCTGGGTTCAATCCTCAGCACAAAATTGAGTGTAAGTCAATCAAACATCACCCAGCTAGAGGACTCCACGCAAACTCAGCCAAAAGTCAGGACAGCAATAAAAAGCACATTCAACAGGAGGGCACAAACTCCCAACCCTGCCTAACTTACCAGCTGATTTTCCTTCAAATGTATCACAACCACACTGGCTATGCTACAGAGCATGCGAACTGCTTTAGGAAGCACAGGTGCTCAAGTGCTGAACAGCCTCCTGGTTGCAGTATGCAACAGTGGCGTGGACCCGAGCCACCGCAGGCTGAATGAAATCTCACTGGGTTTACAGACTGGACTGCATGACCAAATGGCCTCAGAAACCACACCTGCCACACAAGCCTGCCCGCACACACATGGATACGCATGCACGCACACTCACATACGCACACACATATGTGCACACATACATGCTCATGCACACACGTACATGTGAGTGTGCGTGCACACAACCAGAAGAGCCCAGACAAAGCATTTTACCAGTATTAGTTGGTGGTCAGGTTTGGGGATTTCTTTCTGCTTGTTAAAGACAAATTTGGGGTCTGGGGATCTGGCTCAACTGGTAGAGTGTTTGCCTAGCAAGCGCAAGGCCCTAAGTTCAATCCCCAGTGCTGCTTAAAGACAAATTTAATTTGCATTAAGTATTCAGGGAAAACTTAAAGACATTAAAAAAGAGATTTTCATAAGAATGAAGAGATGAATTAAAGAAATTTATACAGGTTGACTGTTTATCTGGAACATTCTCAGCAAATTCCTAGTCTTTCAATAACAGATTCTTTCTAGTTCTGGTCTTAATTCCCCTTAAAACGCTCTAACATAAAATTCTCCTTATTTGTTCAAAATGAGATCACCAACCCTGGGAGAAGGAAGACTGTAGGAAGTGAAGAAAGAACAGGGGAAAACTGTAAACACAGATCCAATCTGTCAAACTGGAAGACTCTGTTAAGACAGCACATGCTGAGAACAACCTGTAATTGTTAAATGACCCTCATAGCCATAGTCCAAGAAGAAGACTTGGGTTGGGAGCATTTGAAAATGCTATGTTAAAGCTGAGTTGAAATTTTTAGAAGATTTTTTTAAAAGCAAACAAAGTATGCTTTGTCCAAATAGCTCCAGGTTCTCATTCACTGACATTCATAAATTCCCATGACTCCGCTCTTAATAAAACACTGGTCGTGAGTTGCACTGTTTTGCTGTTAAGTGCAAACAGTCCTCAGTCTGCTCGTGGCTTGTACAATACATGAGGAAACTCAACTGAGTTAAAATCATCATCATAACTTTAAAAACAGCCAACATTTCTTGAATGTGTTAAGTGCCCCAAACTGGTCTACAGCTTTTACACGGCTTGTTTCACTTATTCTTCACAGCAACCCTCTGAGGTGAGTGCGACTGTCATTCTCCCCTCTGAGGGGAAAGTGAGGAACAGCATGAAGTAAATGTTGGTAAGCAGTGGTGCCAAGACTTGAGTGAGGAGGATGCAGTGAGTCTAGGCTGCCCTTCCCGGGGGTTTGTCCAGAGAGAAAGAAGGATGATATATATGGTGCCATCAACTCAGTGCTTTAGGACTGAGGCACCCAGGACACAGCAGAAGTGACCTCAAAGAAAACAGTCACTGTGACTCACAGAGCTCTTAGATGGCAAAGACTGGTAAGTTCCAGACCAGATCCATCTCCTCTCCTCCCTGTCACATGGCCACATGACATTTCCCAGCTGCCTGGCAGTGGGGTGTGGCTGAGTGATCGATTTAGCCAGCATGTGAGCCAATGCCATGCTCCACTCCTAGGCCCACTTCATGAAGACCCCTCATGAACTCTCCTCTGCTCACAGACCCGCAGGGCCACTCATGGAAGGGGCCTGGGACTCTGGGCAGCTACTTGAAGGGCCACCCACTGACCGCTTGGTCTCTGGCTTTGGAGTTGCACTGGTGGAATGGAGATGTCTGTTCTGGATACACTTGAGAGTCTGGGTTCTATCTAGCAGACCAAGCAATTTTTTTATTTACCTTAACTAACCCATCTCTCATTTGATCTAGCAATCAGTGGGATTCCTCCTTCAGGATTCTGCTGCTGTTGGAGACATCCAGGACTCAAACCAAAAAACATCTAAGAAGCCCACTGCCCAGACCTGAGCTAGGCTTAGGAAAACACACTCCCCAGGACAGCTTAGTGCAAACCTGCAACCACAGCAACTGTGCCCTGAGCAAACCAAAAGTACCCAAAGGGCCTTACCTGCCCACAGAGAGGACGGTGACCTCCCCTTGACGCCGTGAGCGGCCATCTTTGGACTTGGTGGGTCTTATGAAGTGCCATCGCTTGTGTCTACACCGCTGGCACACATCCCGCTCCACAGCGCCACCCACTGTGTGCAGGTGGTGGCCGCAGACATGCTTCCCTGGGGTGGTCCCCGGTGACAAGGGCCCAGGACTCACAGGCGGGCTCCCAGGGGTGCTGGGGGTCACAGGGCTAAGGTGGGGAGAAAAAGGAAAAGGTAGAACTGGTTACTTAGAAGAAATACCAGCAAAGGCAGTGGCTTTCACTGTGAGGTAAGAAACAGAGTTAAATTGCAAAAACAAAGTACACCTTTCAATTGTACACACGGATTTTGTGAACTCATCTTACACAGCAGCACTGAGTTCTCAGGACCCTGAGGCTGTGATGACAGCTCACTTCAAACAATAATGACGTGCTTTAGCACCTCCACAGTGGATTTCACCACTGCTTCTAACGACGACACTCTCTTGCATGTTAGGTTTCTTTCTATAACACTCATCTCCCTTCTCACGCTGTCATAATAATTTTTTCCACGTAGTCCAGTGTCTGCCTGGAACTCTAAGCAAAGAGATGCCCTGAACACACAGGCACTGATGAAGAGAAAAATTTAAATTCCAACTGAATAATCAGATGACTTAAGATAATCAAAATACTCAACCCAATCTCACTATTACATCAAAGGAACAAAGCTTTTAGGTCAACATAACAAAACTGATGCTCAAAACAACTGAGGGTGTTGACACTAATAATAAAAAGAGCTAACAGTTGTCTAAGAATTATATATATATATATATGTATGTATTATATAAAACCTTATGATGACATAGTTATTATCAATTTCCTCATTTTAAAAACAAGGTCATTGATGAAGCTAAGCAACTTGCCAAGAACAAGCAGCAGATAAGCACATTTGAGATCCGAACCTAGAAAGCTGAATTCCAGACACCACATTCTTACCACCATGCTACATATATGGTGCTTCAGAAAGAGTGGAGACCACTTCAGCAATGGAGAAGAAATCTGGCCAGAGTAACCAAAATGTAAAAAGCATTAGTATATGCGCCAGATATCGGCTACTTGTAAAAGGCACATGTCAGAGCTCCTTGGTGCTAAAAAAGAGGGGATTAGAACAGGACAGGGCCAGACTGGCCAGGAACCAGCCTTTTGGCACACGTGCGTGCAGGTGGAGCAGCCCAGCCCACAAAGCCTGACACCTGAGACAGCAAGAGCCCCAGGGCACATGGAAGACTGGTGGTGCCAGAAACCAACCTTTGGGCTGCTGAAAAGCAACCAATCTGCACACTTTTAAAGAGGTACAGGACATGACTGAGGATAGCCCCAAGATCCCTAGTGCTCTACAGGCATGCCCTAAAATTGTTAAAACAAAAACACACAGCAGCTGGGCGCCAGTGGCTCATGCCTGTAATCCTAGCTACTCAGGAGCAGATCAGGATTGTGGTTTGAAGCCAGCCCACGCAAAGAGTTTGCAAGACCCTATCTCAAAAAACCCATCACAAAAAAAGGGCTGGTAGAGTGGCTTAAAAGGTGTAGGCCCTGAGTTCAAACCCCAGTACTGAAAAAAAGAAAAACCTCACCCAGCAGCACCTTCCCAGAGGAAACGATGTCCACTCCATACCATGTGTTAGAAAGGAGAGTTCATGCATTTAACTGCACGGATTTAGAAGCATTTATCAAGTACCAGCTGGATACAAAACCCAGCAACAGGCACTACCAATGCCCAATAAAGACTGAGATAAGGACACCTAATACGGTATTAACACCAAATGTCTGTGCTTAAATGGGAAATCACTCCCCGTGTCTGTCAACTACATCACCAGGATTTCCTATGCCCGCCTCCCAGAATCCTGAGTTACTTGTCTAAAAGGCACATCTAACCCAGTCAGATTGATGAATGCATTACCCTGAAGATATGCTGGGTGTACAGCCCACATAGGAAGCAGAAAAAGATCCAACCCAACCTCCTTACCTTGTCCCTCGGTTCCTGTTTACCTTCCTGCAGCTTCTGCTTATGCCCATAACACATTCTCTGGCAGCCCCCGACCAACCATTCCCAGGCGTATCCCACACTTTCGAGCTCCCTCACCTTTTCTCTTAGACTTTCTTCTGCCCACAACCAGCCGCTGGTCGGATGATACCCTTTCCTTAAACGTCTCTGACTTCTGGCCAGCCCACAGAGCCCACAGAGCCTCCAGTGCACACCTCTCCTCCAGCACATTCAGGATCCCCACTGTAAAGATCACACACCCATCTCCCGTCCTCACCAACTGAGTCCTCCAAGGGAGGGGCCAGCACGGTATCCAGCACACAGGGGCACTCAATCCATGCTCCTTGTAGGAGAATGGAAAACTGCATAGACATAAGTTACCTGTAACTACCAAAGAAGGAATACAGTGCTCCACAACCTTTACCAAAAACCAGTACAGGTAATACAAAAATAGCACATAGCAGGGATCCCCAAACCAACTCATTGTTCATCTAATCGCCATTGTTCATAAAGATCTTTTGCATTTCTTGTAACAACACAATGAAGTGAAAGCTATGGCTAACTCTATTTTATAGCTGATGGAACTGGAGTCCAGAGTGGTCAGCTAACTTGCCCAAGAATAGCAGTCAGTCGCGATGGAGGTCAGACTCAAGAAGTCCCCCAATCCCAAGGCCATGCTCCTACTCTGAGCCCCATTCTCCAACACAGCAGCTCTCAACCAGGGTGATGTCCCCCGAGGGGACACCGATAGCATGCTGAGATATTCTGGGTTGTTACACCTTGTGGGGAGAAGGGCAGTGCTCTGGTATCTAGTGAGTGGAGACCAGGGTCACTGTTAAACAACCCACCGTGCACCAAATAGTACCCCCAGCGAAGAATTATCTAGTCCCAATGGCAATAGTGTCAAAGTGGGGAAGCTATTGTAGCATTTTAAATGTCACCATACCTAAAAAACCAACTGAAAACTATCCCCTTCCACGGGAGGAGGAACACTCACCTTTCAGCCTCACCCACGCTGTTGTCTGCTACCATTGCCTTTAAAACATCTGCATTCGCTAAGGAACAAAAAGAAAATTTAAGAATTAAAATGGGGTGAAAGAGCAACCACAGAATCATCACATCAGAACAGCTGTTGGACAAACTCCTCATTCAGGTCCTTCAGTTCACAGATGAGGTCTGGGGCCCTGGATAAGGGAAGGAGAAGGTGATTTTCCAAGTGGGCCAATTGGCTTAGCACTGCTTCAAGACCACACAAACCCTAAGTCTAGACAAGTATCTTGGAATTTCAAGTGCTGACCACAACATACAAGCTATATAATACAGGATGACTCAAATTAAACTTACAATATAATTTCTTTCAAAATCCAAATGTGGGAGGACAAGGTTATCAACAAAACAAAGCTGAATCTGAGTTTCTTGAGTCCCCTACTCACCTCCCCACCCTCCCACCCTCCCACCTCCCACCCCCAACCCCTGGCCCACGTTCTATGCATCTCCTGCAGAGTGGTGAAGCTGAAGTGAATGCTGAGTTTCTCCTGGCTACTGAACCGGCAAGGTCAAATGCTGTTACTGACTTCTAACCTTTTCCATTGATTTTTAAAGCATTGTGCTTATGACTAATCACAATAAATTCTCTAGAGAGGAAGGAATAAAAACCCACTAGTTACCATGTAAGCCAATGCCAACATTTAACATTTAACATTCAAATGACATCGCCACAGGAGGACAATTAACTCTTGTTCCAATACTGCTGCTGGACGTGTGGAGAGTTCAGGGTTTACCAGCAGTGTTCCTCAACGTGGTTTCCTTCTTGCCCCACCCAGGAGCCTTTTTTCACATTTTTCCCCCAATCATCTTTCCATGAAAGTATAACGTTGAAGATACCTATTTATTCATGTTCTATAGTCATATCTGTGCTTTATCTATAAGAAAGCAAGATTTTCTTGATGCTCTCCGTCCAATTTTCATCCTCCTGGGAGGATGAAAATTGCAACATTTCAAGAATGCATAGGGATTTGTTTTGTTTTTTAAAAAAAATTTTTTTACACAATATACCACCCTTTGCTTAAAGAAATACCTTCTCTGCTCTTCATGGCTATCTTTGAGGGTGTGCAAAGCATTTCAAAACACAAGTTTTGATCTTAAAAAAAAAAAAAAACCCTCTTGTCATTACAAAAAAAGTCCAGAAAATGAATCCTTAGTACCTCCTCCCAAAAAAAGAGACATTACACTCTGTAAAACATAATTAAGTATAACCTCACAAGGTCAGCCATTTTTCCTTTTGCTTAATAAGGGTTCAGAAAAATAGTTTTCTTCCAGATAATGGCTATGGTTTGGATGTGGCTTGTCCCCCAAAGTTTCAGGCATTGGAAGCTTGGTCCAATTGTAGTGATGTAGGAGGTGGTGAGACCTTTAAGAGGTAGGGCCTAGTGGGAGGTGATCAGGTCACTGGGCACCACCCTCAGAAGGAAATGAGTGGTTCTCAAGAGAGGGCTTCCCTAAGAGAGAGAGGGCTAGGGATATAGTTCAGTGGTACAGCACACTTGTGCTTAGCATAAACAAGGTCCTGAATCAAATCCCCAGCACAGAAAAAAAGAGAGAGAGAGGGCTCTGGCTTCCTGTCTCACCCTGTAATGTTTCCACATGTTCCCACCATGGTACCATCCACTATGATGTGACCCAACCAGGTGGGCCTTCACCAGAGACCAAATCAATGGGGCTGCCCAATCTGACTTTCTACCTCCAAAACTGTAGGCTAAATCAACCTCTTTTCTTTATAAAGTACCTAGCTTTAGGTATTTCATTCTAGTATCAGAAAGTGGGCTAATAAGTTATGGAAACAGCCAAGATGCCCCACCACTGACAAATGGATTAAGAAAATGTGGTATCTATACACAATGGAATTTTATGCAGCCATGAAGAAAAACGAAATGTAATCATTCGCTGGTAAATGGATGGAATTGGAGAACATCATTCTGAGTGAGGTTAGCCTGGCCCAAAAGACCAAAAATCATATTTTCTCCCTCATATGTGGACATTAGATCAAGGGCAAATACAACAAGGGGATTGGACTTTGAGCACATGATAAAAGCGAGAGCACACAAGGGAGGGGAGAGGATAGGTAAGACAACTAAAAAACTAGCTAGCGTTGTTGCCCTCAACGCAGAGAAACTAAAGCAGATACCTTAAAGCAACTGAGGCCAATAGGAGAAGGGGACCAGGAACTAGAGAAAAGGTGAGATCAAAAAGAATTAACCTAGAAGGTAACACACACACACAGGAAATCAATGTGAGTGAACTCCCTGTATAGCTAACCTTATCTTAACCAGCAAAAACCCTTGTTCCTTCCTATTATTGCTTATACTCTCTCTACAACAAAATTAGAAATAAGGGCAAAATAGTTTCTGCTGGGTATTGAGGGGGGGGAGAGGAAGGGGGCAGAGTGGGTGGTAAGGGAGGGGGTGGGGGCAGGGGGGAGAAATGAACCAAGCCTTGTATGCACATATGAATAAGGAAAAAAAAAAAAAAAAGAAAGGGTACGAAGCCCAGGGTAGTAATAACAGCACTTACAGAAATGAACTTTTATTGTCGTTGGGTTTTTTTTGGCCGTACTCAGGGCCTCATGCTTGCTAGGCAGGCACCTTCCTACTTGAGACACTGTGCCAGCAGAAATGAACTTTTCAAAAATAAAAATCTAAATTATTGCCTAGGAAAATTAATCACCTATAAAATAAGGTGCCTATAAAATGAATGCCTATAAAATGAAACATCAAATTATAAAATAATCCCGAGAAGATAAAATGTATTAAAATCTTTACCAGTCTTGGTTTTTACAGACTTGAGTTTCTCATGTTTCACGAATTCCTGTGACTCACTCTTATCTCCTAGAAATAATTAGAAAACCAGCCCCTTGTTCACTCTGAGAGAAGTGTCTGGGAGTAGACTCCAGTTTCTATGCGAACATCATTCACCCCAAGGATGATGAGAAGGGTGAGCCTACTGGGCTGACACAAAACCTACCACATACGTGTGCACGCAGGCTTATACCCCCACCTCCGGGCTAACTCCAAGTGTACACCAGAGAGCAAACTACAGCAATGTTCTCTTGGGAAGAGACTGTTTTCCTGTGATGAGACTTTCTAACATTACACCACCAGTGGATGACTTGAACATGCTTTAATTTGGTTGAGAAACTATAATAAATGAACAATAACCTAAGTTCTATTGAATTAGCAGTTGTCCAGTACCAAGAGTACTGGCTCCAGTGCCCCCACTGAAGATAACAGAACCTGCAGATGCTCAGTCCCGCTCACAAATGGCATAGATTTGCATAGGACCTATACATGTCCTCCTGTGTACTTTAAACCATTTCACGATGACATATCATACAAACGCCATGCAAATGCTATGGAAATCGTTCTACTGCAGTGTTTAGGGAATAATAACAAGCAAACATCCATACTGTTCAGGGGGAGGCAATTTTCAATCTGCAGTAGGTTGCACTTGCAGATGTGGAGTCATCAGGCCAGAGTGTCAACTGTATCACTCCTCCCCCATGTTACTCAAAACTTCCAAATGCCATAAAAGATGTCTCCTCACACTTGCCAATGTTCTGTCAACTGTACTTCCTTTCATAGGTGTCTCAAGAATGAGAGGAACCAGTTACTGGGCAAAGAAGCCTTGTAGAGAACAAAGAAAATTTTCTAGAGAGTAGTATTTTTCAGAAATTGCTTACTCTGTTTTTCCCCTGAATTTGTTTGATAATATGTATAAAAAACTGTCAAATTTGGGCAAGATTAATACCCTATTGTCTATCCTACCACTATATTTCCAGTTTTCCTTATACACAAGGCAAATATCCCAAGCAAGGGCTAATATTGCCATTACCAAAATCTATATGGCTGATACAGCCAGTCACGGCCTAAAAGCTTTACAGACCTGCATGATGGACTCTTCTGATGACCTTAACAGCAGGTGGAATCATTGTACCCATTTAACAGGTGGAAAGACTGAAGCCTAAACAAGGTAACTGACTGGCCAGAGTCACAGAGTGAGAGAGTGGCAGACTTGACCATAATCCCTGGCCTGACTCCAAAGCAGGGGCTCTAAACCTGGACACAATCCTTCCTTCCCCTTCAATGTCAAGTCTTCATTCAAATAGACCCAGGCTGAATAGAGCTCAGAGCACATTTGTATTATCAACATAGCACATTTCAGAGCCCACTTGGAAACACATTAGTTGGCAAAGGCACCAGTTCTGCCAGAATGTAAACTGAAGGTAAGATCGTGACAAAGGGCTCTCTCACCTAGTGGGAGGCATCAGAGATTGTGGGGAGCAACTGTAGTGCTCTCAGTGTTTACCTCAGCAGACAGTTGAAGGGCCCAGCAGAGAAACTCAGCTACAGAGCAGAGTCCTCGATACCTTCCAAACTTCCATACAATGCCACAAAACTCCACTGACTGCTCAAACACTATTCGATCTGGCTCTGTTGAGAAAGATAAACTAAAAGATTGCACTACAGTTAATCCAATCCTTGCCATTAGGAGGAAAATAATCAGTATACAGGTAAGAAGGAGGTTCTTGAAAAGCCTTAGAATTTCCTGAGCAAAACAGGAGCATCCTTTGTTGTTCACAATGGGCCACTTGATCACTCCTGAGTTGCCATAATGAGGTGAGTTAGGGTGAGCAGTCAGCACACAGGCCAAGTGACTACAGAGCTGGAATTTTCATCTCCACCCAGTGACCCCTGGGAAGTGGGGAGTGAGGTAGTCTAGGGCTAGAGTTTAAGCTCTCTAAAAACTCTTGAACAACAAGATTTGGGGAGCTTCCAGGTTGCTGATCCCATGGGAGTGTTTGGAGGGTGGTATGTCCAGAGAAGGTATAAACATTTCACACACACACACCCCTTTCCCAGTAACTCGTCCTGTGTACCTCCTCCAGCTGGTCATTCCTGAGTTATATCCTTTGTAATAAAGCAGTAAATGTGCCAGGTCTTGGTGGCTCACACCTGTAATCTTAGCTACCTGGGAGGCTAAGATAGGCATAATTGAGGTTTGAGGCCAGCCCAGACAAATAGTTTGCAAGACCTCATTTCCAAATTAACCAGAGCAAAACTGACTGGAAGTGTGGCTCAAGCAGTAGAGGACCTGCTCTACAAGCAGGAAGCCCTAAGTTCAAACCCTAGTCCCACCAAAAAAAAAAAAGAAAGAAAGAAAGAAACAGTAAATGTAACACTTTTCCCTGAGCTCCATGAGCTGTTTCAGAAAATTAACTGTGCTCAGCGTCTTAAGTGGGGACAGTACCCTTAACCTGTGAGATCTGAAACCAACTCCCAGGTAGAGTTAACTGTCAGCATCACCAACTCAGAGCTCTCCCAGCATAGGAAGCCAGGCCCAAAGGCCCCACGCTGCCCCGGCCCCGGGAGGCAGTATGGAGTACGAAAGGAACTGAGGTGGTCATGCCTCACTTTGTGCACTTCCGTCATGGCTGAATCTTAGATGCCAAGAAAATACTCATGAATTCCTACTGCAATTAAAAAGGACGTTCTTTATATGAAAGAAACATGAGTGATAGTGTGCTTGAGAATGGTGTCACCAAATCCTGTCCCCTAAGGGAGGTCTCTGAATACAGATCACACTCCAAGTGCCCTGTCTGATTTGTTTTGCTCTTATTTTAAACACCATTCTAATAAGTTTGATTATCCTTTTTTTTTTTTTTCTTGGTGGTACTGGGGTTTGAACTAAGGGTTTCATGCTTGCTAGGCAAGTGCTCTATCATTCCAGCCATGCCCCTAGCCCTTTTTGCTTTTTTTTTTAACTTCTTTTTTCAGATAGGGTCTCACACTTTTTGTCTGGGCTGGCCTCAGATCACGATCTTCCTACCCACTCCTCTAATGTGGCTGGGATGACAGGCATGTGCCACCACATCCTATTATTCTTTGGGAACAAGTCTCCTTAAGTTTTTTGCCCAGGCTGGCCTTGAACCCTGATCCTCCTACCTCAAACTCCCAAATGGCTGGGATTATAGGTGTGTTGCACTGAACCTGACCTTAGGTATACAATTTTTACAGAATGTAGAAATTAAAAGAGAAGAGACAATGTTGTGTGGCTAGAAGGAACACAGTATCTAGAACTAGACAGAAAGAGCTCACTAACCATGTGAAATTGAACCCTTTGGAACCTTCCTGTAAAATGGATACAATAGTAACTTTTCAGGGATGTGTTGAGGATGAGATGAAATTAAATACATAAAGCAGCTAGATCTATGCCAAATACATGAAGTATACTCTAAAAACACCAGGAATGGGATGGGTGCAGTGACTCATGTCTATAATCCCAGCTACTCAGAAAGTAGAGATTGGGAGGATTTCAGTTACAGACCCAGCCCAGGCAAAAAGTTAGTGAGACCCTATCTCAACAAAACAGCCCAGACATGAGTATGTGCCTGTTATCCCAGGTACTCAGGAGGGCGTACGTAACAGGACAATGGTCTCTATCTGAAAAATAACCTAAAACAAAAATAGATGTGGGCAAGTGTGCTCTACTGAGTTCAAACCCCAGTACTGCGAAGAAACAAACAAACAAACAACAACAACAAAAAAAAAACAGCAATGAAAGTCACACCAAACCATAACAAACTGTTGTTCCTCTAAGTTGGAAACATCTGGACAGAGTCAACACAATGACAAACAGCCTGTGCCAGGTGACTGCTCTTGTTAAGTAGTGAGGACACTGGGGTGGGGGAGGGTGGGAAGTGTAAGGAAATATAGGCCCCAAAATGACCATGTGGAGAGGAGTGATCTGGCCAAGAGATTCTTTATTGCTGGGTGGGAGAGGGAGAGAGCAGAGAGAGCCAAGAGAGAGGGGAGAGAGGGGCAGGGGCTTAAATACCCCTCAGTGAGACTCGGCATGATCTGATTGGTTAGGATCTTATGGTTCACGCTGATTGGAGGTTGGGGCAGAAGGAGGATTCAAGCTAGACTTGAGGCAGGACTGTGACCCTGGGAGGTAGGACTGTGACCCTGGAAAACAGGAGCTTAAGGGTGCAGTAAGAACTGAAACCTATCAGCACCATTATTGCCAACAGGAAGGGCTGAGGGCAGAAGAGCAGGTATTCACTATGAACACAGAGGCATTTCAACTTTCAGACCTACAATTCAGCTGTGCTGGTGCCTGCTGCATGAGTCAGTCAGAGCTGACTAGAATAAAGACCCAGAGAGAAGTTTTCTTTTAAATTCTCATGAGAACTCAAAAGATTCAAAGTAGGGGAATCCACAGGTATTGAGTATGTGGGTGAAGAGTCCCACACACCTTAAAAATTACCAAGGGCATGGAATCTGCTCTGGTTTGGGTGTGTCCCCCAGAAAGCATGCTTATGGATTAATCCACTCAGGGCTTAGTGGATTCCTGGTTGTTGAGGAGTAACTCTGTCATAAAAGCAAGCTCTTGTCTGACACAACTGCTCTGGCATGCCCTCCACCATGTCATGATGTAACAAGGAGGCCCCTTCCCAGTGCTGAGCAGAAACCAAACTATGAACTAAATACACTGCTATTCTTTATAAATTACCCAGCCTGTGGTTATTCAGTTACAGTCATGAAAAATAGGATGGTACCCTATTGAGATAACCAGTGTTTAGAACAATGGCCCTAATTTATTTAATAAAGATTGAATCTTCCACTTAAGAAAATAAAAGTTTAAAATGCATTTTACAGGGGGGGAATCACTTAAATCCGTAAGGATGGAGCTTAAAGGTTAAGTTTTAACCCTTTAAGACTGGACAACATAGAACAGACAAGTCCCTAGAGACAGAAAGCAAACTGGTGGTTGCCAGTGGTTGGGGGAGGAAGGAATGGAGAGTGGCTGTTTTACGTGTACAGTTTCAGGTCTGGAGTAGACAGTGGTGATACCTGTGCCACACTGTCAACATGAATAAACTTAAAACCACTCAATTCTCCACTTTAAAATGGATGCAATAGTCCATTTTATACGTATTTTACCACCATTTTTAAGTACAAAAAAAAAAGAATGTGTAATATTTGAGAGCCTGTCACACTGAGCATTTCATGCGGTGCTGTGAGGTAAGCGTGATAAGGCTCTCGCAGCTCGTTTCACAGGAGGAAACTGAGGCGTTGTGAGGTAATAAGACTTTCCTCAAATTGCACGTGCTGAGGAAGTGGTGAGCCAGGACTTGAGCACAGCCACAGTTTCAGAACTAGCCCTCTGCAACCGAGACCAACTGACATCCCAAAACTCAGTGAGGTGAAACTCTCGTGGTTGGCTAAAGCTAGAGGAGGTGCCGGAGAGCTCGGGTAAAACCAGTGACAGGCCATACCAACCTCAACTCTCCTAAGCAGGTTTTTAATAAAACTAGACTACTGAATTGTTCTTGATCACTGAAATATTCATACCTTCATTCTTCATGATGTAATGGACAATTTGCCCGACAGTGTCACTGTTTTCATTGGTACTGTCATTCAATTCTGAAAGAGAAAAGGGAGGGAAAATGTGACATAATTGGTCACCAGCAGCAAGTCCCTTAGATATTCAGTCTTAGAACCCAAGAACCTCATGGAATAGCTTCCAGAAAGCTCAGGCGCTCACACAGTGCTGAGGTTCTAGCTTTCCTCCTTCAGCCCCAAAGCCCCCAGTGTCACATGTTGTGACTTTGTTGGCATAACAAGCATGAAAAGAAAGGATCCCAGTTGTTTATCAATGTCTTCTCGAGATCAACTAGCCACTCACTTTCCACAACAACGTAGAAATGCAATTATACCCATCCTTAATGCTATGATTTCTCTCAATTCCTTAAATCCTTAGGGAAAATGAAAAAACTTTTTTCCTTGGATTTCATTTTAATTGCAGACTTACCATATAAATTTAGAACACCATTTTGGGCAGGGGGGGCGGTTGCTGAGGACTGAAGCCAGGGCCTCAAACATGCTAGGCAAGTGCTCTACCTCCTAGCTACCTCCCAGCCTCTGAGTATTAAGCTATTTTTGAAATTGGATGATTACTCATCCATATTTATAAAAGTCTCTTATCCTTTTTAATATACTTCCAAATTACCTAAATTCTGGCCTACAAACTCAGTTTACTTTGAGGGGGAAGGGGGCCCTGGGCCAATAATATATATGATAGTCTTGGGAAAAAAAAAATCAAACCTCCACTTGGAAACCGATCAGTATAATTTATTTCAATAGGACAAGAAGGAAGAGGGAGGGCTCAAACATTCCATGCTAGTTCACAGAGAGCGAGTGCAGTGACCCACCCATTCACCTGGAGAATTGTCTTCTGCATCCCAAGGCCAGCCTCCCTCCTACATGAACAAGCGTATTTGCACAGACAGTATGGAAGCCAACGACTGGGACAATCTACCGAGGTCTAGAAGGAGCAGAGCAGGAGGCTCTGCCTTCTGTTGACAAACACTCAGCTCTGGTTTGCTGAGCTTACACATGACTCATCGTGTAACCGTATTCTTCCTCAGCCTCAAAGGTCAGTGGGGGTGGAAAAATCAACAGTCCAGCAAGTTGGCAAGGAATGAGGAACCTCCCCCCACCAGCCCTGCAGGTTTGCTCCATGGGTGACCTACTCCAAATGTCACTCCAAAGACTACGATGGAGGGGCTGAGCAGAATATGGAGAGCTTTCTGCTCTCCCTCAAAGCTCATGTCAAGAAACCTCTCCAAAGGATGGCATCAGTGGGGAAAACAGGATTTGCCTTGCAGGTTTATCCCAACACCACCTAACAACTCCGTGTGAAGAGGAAAACATGAGACATTCTGGCATTCACACCAAGGCACCGGTTCGTGCCATCCTTCTACTGCACCGTTCATACCTCAGTTACTTACTAAACACAAACTTTAGTCACAGAGACTGCAGACAGCTCCCCCAGTAAAAGTAATACCCCCAAAACGGTGAGACTTCTTTAATTTTCCTACCATTCTAATAAGAACCAGAATCAACAATGATAGTAAGGATTGAGGCTTGCTGGATGGCCATGTATCAATCACACAACCATCATCTCCCTAAAGTTCATGACAGCCCTACAAGGTGGAAATTTTGTCCTCATTTAAAGTAAATGAATTAGAAATTTTTTTTTTTTGGCAGTACTGAGGTTTGAACTTAGCACTTGCTAGAGATTTGGAGCACAAATAACTGACCCAAAGCCACTGGGCTATAGAGTAAATACCTGGTAGGTATTCAATTAATGAAAGTAAACTTTCAAACTCCTGATGCGATTATTGCAAAATATACTTTATGCTACGCCACAGGAGCTGCTATGGCAATGGACCATTTTGTCTCATAGAGACAGAAATTCTGTATGAGGGGTTTCTTATTTAAAAAACTTCTCCCCTCCCCCTGTAAGAACACAGATTATTTACCTATCTTTTCAACCTTCTCCTCTTCAGCATCTTGCTCGGCCTCTGTTGTACACCGATAGCCTTTCTTCTTAAGCAGGTGGCAGATGAGGACACCCAGAAGACCCATGATGAAGAACACAGGGACCAGCACATAGGCGATGTACTCTGGGTGTCCATTCCCTGTATTGCTCGTGGGAGACGGGGTGGTCTCTGCTCTGGAGTGCAGCGTGTGGCTGCCACCAGTATCTGCAGAAGAGAACATGCACGGCTGAGTTAGATGTCTGGGAGGGGCAAACTGAGGACCCTTGAGAAATGTTCACATTTAATCACTGTCTGCTCAGAAAACTGGAGGCCATACTGACGATGGGGGCATCTGGCAGCACAGGCACAAAGGCTGAGAGCCCAGGCTTGGGCTACAACAGTTCAATCCACATCTTGTCCCTGCACTATTATAGTGGATTTTTGTTTTGTTTTTTGTGGCCCTGGGATTTGAACTCAGGGCTTCAAGCTTGCAAGGCAGGCAATCTACTGCTTGAGCCACACCTCCAGACCCCCACTCCCTTTTGTTTAAATGAGACAGGGTCTCACTATGGCTGGCCTGGAACTCACTGCATAGCCAGGCTGACTGCATGATCTTCCTGCCTTAGCTTCTTGAGTACTGGGATTACAGGTATGCACCACCATGCCCAGTTGTTGGTTTTTTTTTTTTTAAATCCTCTTTTAGCCAGCTACTATTTCTTCATCTGTGACAGTCTCTGCATGGTTCTGAATGAAGGCACAACGCTTTACTGAAATGCCCAGCACACATTGCGCACACACTAGGCAGTACTATAGCACAGTACTTAGTGGCTAAGAGCAAAGACTCAAGAGACATAGGGTGAATTCCCAGCCCCACAACTTAGCAGCCCTGTGACAATGAACAATGACTTCGCATCTCAATCCTTGGCACCTCCCTCCTCCTGTGAAGATGAAATACACTACTATACAGAGAACACTTGAGAGCCATTTCTGCAACACTACAAACACTCACTTTCTTATGGGGCTCCTTTCTAGGCCCTTGAGACGTAAGTGCACCATGCCAAGCAAAGCGGATGCAGATCTCATCCCATGGAGCTTATGTTCTAGAAGGATTTAGTGAACCAACATAGCTAGGGTACGATGAAGAGGGAAAAATCAAGAATGAGCTCAAGTTTTTGACTCAGCATGCAAGCATAAACATGAAAACCTATGCATTTTTTTATTCATTTAGGGATCCAAATAAACTGTTCTTGTAAGCCCTTGGTGTGCCAAACCCCCTGCTGGGAGCTGGGAGTTAGGGAGTGAGAAGCAAGGTAAGGCCACCCCTGCCATCTTGAAGCTTGCAGGGTAAACCTGAAGCAGGCACTAAGCCAGCCAGCCATGGCAGATCAGGGTCTCTTGTGGTGAGAAATGCCAAGGAAGGAACATATGGGCAGGAGGAGATAAAGTAACGCTGCGGACCGGCCTTACAACATCAGGAGCAGGAAAGCTGCAAAGAGGACACAGTTTGGAGGAAAGGAGACGCTTGCTTTTAGACTGGCAAGACATCACGTCAAGGGAGCCTGCGCTGCTGCCATGTGGCCTCGGAAAGCAAGACAGGGAGAGCCTGGAGCACACATTATAAGATGTGCCAGCTGAGGTAACAGCAGACGGAGTGGAAAACCTGCAGTGACATGGCATGGACACAAGAGGAGAGAAGTAGCAAATGTGGGAGGGCCCGTCAACAAGAGAAAAAGGAAACCCAGCATTTGGAATACCCTGATTTCAATGTGATGAAGCTTTCCACATAGGGAGAAACACATACATGGCTTAGGAAACCCAGGCGTAGAAAGCCAGCAGCAGCGAGTCATAGCTTTCTCCAGAACGCTTCGGTGGGAAAGGGGCCAGTGTCATCATGACTGTATTAGGGGCAGTCATGCACCTGGTCTGAAATGACCACAGCTATCACAGCAGCGAACAGTATCAAAAGGCTGCTTCTCTCTCATATAGAAACCTCTGCTAACTCTGCGCAGGAAAGGGAAGAACTGGTTCTTCAGTTTGTAAAAGGCTGCATTCATGATTTCATCAGGCAACTGCTAGAATTTGAGATAATGTGCAATTTCTTTTTGATTTCTCTCCCAGGAATATATACATTACATTATATATTACATAGTAAATATAATAAATCACACTCTGCCCACTGACATCTCAACCAACAATGGGTCTGTAAGATTATTATGGAGCTAAAATCCTCACATCAGCAAACTGCACCCTTTCTCTGTTTAGAAACAGAACACTTGACTATGTGCAACAACTGCCTACAGAACTCAAGAGAGTAACACGCTGTACAAGTTTACTAACTAGGTGTGTCACAGGCCATCCCATCTAGGTTTGTGTAGGTACACTGTCACCTGTTCTCAGAACGTACTCCCATGATTAAGCCATGCAAGACTGTGCACAAATACGTTATGTGTGTGTGTATCCCTAAACATGTGCAAAAATACCATCTTAGAGTTTAACCTCATGCCTTACTTTCAGTAAAAACCAGAAAAATCAAACAAAATAAATAAATAAAACTACTTGATGAATGTTTATAAATGTTTGCATCAGGACAGAGAAAGACACAGAAGGCCAATCTCTTGATTAGGTCAAGAGATTGGGATTACTTGAAAGTATTATTTCTGTAATAGCTACAACTTACCACCTGTGGGATTAATTTCAAAAACTGAATAAAATTAAGAAACAGAAACATTTCGCTTCTTTCAAGTTCTAAGTAAGTTTTGCTTCTCTCTTTTCTATCACATGTCCCAACCAACAGGAGTAGGTGTCGATGGAGGCGTTTTCCTCAGGCTCAGTGTTTCAGTCTGGGGATGATAACAAATTCTCTTTGGGGAGCAGTGGAAAGAGGCAGAGGGCTCAGAATCAGAGATAAACAGCAACTCCTGAGTCAGGTGGTCGAGAATTTGTCTTCATTGTCAATATGACACTTAGCAAAGCTTAGCAATGGTACATTTATGGACTCTTGTGATTTGCAAACATTGCAGCATTCACTTAGTCTTATAATTACTATAACATGGGGAAACTGAAGAGATTAACTTTGTGAAGCACAGAAATTATAGGGATGCAATATAGCACTGGGTTAAAAGCCCAGGCTGCCAGGCAGAGGTCACAGCCCAGTCACTAAGGAGATGTGTCACCTTCAGCAAGTAATTTAGCTCTTCCATGCTCAGTTTCCTCATCTCTGAAATGCAGTCAAAATGACTGTACCTGAACAAGGAGGCTAATGCCTGTAATCCCAGCACTCAGGAGGCTGAGGCAGGATGACTGGGAGTTTGAAGCCAGCCTGGGCTATACAGCAAGACCCTGTCTCAAAAGACAAAAAGAAAAAAAGGATTGTACCTATCTGTGGTGATTTTAAAACACGGCCCCCCAATATTTTGATACCACTCCCCCTAAAAGGCAAGGTCTACATCTCCTGCCCTTACATACACCCTGTGCTGGCAACAACTGAATTTGTTGGGAGTGATACGTTGTCAACTTCAGGCTCCGGACCTTCAGAAACCGAGTTTCCATTTCCTGGGTCTTGAGGCACCAGCTCTTGGGACCCAGTCACCCTCTTTGCAGAAACCTCGCCTGACAGTGGCAGCAGGCATCAACTTCCAACTAGTAAGTAGGCCGGCTCAGAAGTAGGTGTCATAGCCCAGTCGGTACTGCAGGAGCAGGGGTCTGTATGCTAACTCAGCCAAACTTGATGCTGAGCCAAACAAACTGCTGCTACAATGTACTCACCAGGCTCTGGTAAATTTCTAGCACTAGTAGACAGAAGGCTATCAAGTGCAGCCACTGGGATGGTTAAATATGCTAATACGCGAAAGCACTCAGAAGAAAGGCAGGCACTATAAACGCGCTGGAGCATCATGGCTACAGGCTCTCATAGCCACCAGCCTCATAATTAAATATAAATTTAAGTCAACTCAGAGTTAAAAATCCATCTCTTCAGTTGCACGGGCCACATCATCTCCAGTGCCCAGCAGTCACATGTGACTAACTGCCACCACACTGGACAAGTCAGAGAAAGAACATCTCCACCATTCCAGAAAGCTCTATTGTTATGGCCATGAGGGCTCCATTCTTTCTCGGGGGTGGGAGGGTACTGAGGTTTGAATTAAGGCCTCACACCATCTAAGCCACACCCTCAGCCTTTTTTTTTTTTTGCTTTGTTTTTCAGATAGGGTCTTACACTTTTGCCTGAGCTGGACTCAGATCTTGATCCTCCCCCCTTTACCCCCTGAGTAGCTAGGATTACAGACATGAACCACCATGCCTGGCTTGTTTCTTGAGACAGGGTCTTGCTAACTTTTCTTTTTTTTTTTTTTTAACCAGGCTGTGATCCCCAATCTCCTCCTTCTAAGTAACTATGATTATAGGAGGCTCCACCCTTATAAATGGATTATCCTGAGAGAGGAAGAGTTATCAGGGGAGTGGGCTCCTGATCAAAGGGTAAGTTTGGTCTCAACCCCTTCTTTCTCCAGACGCCAACACCATGCTCTTGGACTTCCCAGCCTCCAAAACCAGAAGCTAAATAAATGGTATGGTTTACAAATTACCCAGCCTGCAGCATTCTGTTACATTAGAACAGATCCACTAAGACAGACACACCTACAGAGAAGCTCCATCCATTTGGAGCCATTGCTGAGGAGCAGGACCACTTCACACAGCACTTAGGAGAACAGCCACTGCTCCACCCAGATGCACAGCAAGGCTTCCCGAGCCACGAGGGGTGCGCTGGGGCGGGGCTGCCAGAGAGCAGCTGAAACAGGAAGGAAACGAGAAATGGTGCCACTGTCATGATAGACAGCGTGGAGGTTCCTCAAAAGTCAAAGACAGAACCACCGTATAATCCAGAAAGCTCACTCTGGGTGTGTATCCAAAGGAACTCAAAGTAGGATTTGTATTGCTTTATTTTTTGGAGGGACTGAGGTTTGAACTCAGGGGTTAGCACTTGCAAAGCAGGCAGTCTACTGCCTGAGTCACACCTCGGGTCCTGAAATTAGGATCTTGAAGAGCTCTATGGACTTCTAGTCACTACAATATTATTCACAACAGCCATGGAAGGAAATGGCTTAAATGCCTATTGACAGGCAAAGGGATGAAGAATTAGGGCATATTATTTTGTTTTATAACAGGGATTTCCGCCATGCGTGATAGAATGAATGAACCTTGAAGAAATTATACTAAATGAAATATGCCAGTCACAGAAGGGTGACTACTAGGACTTCACTTATATGAGGTATCTAAAATACAGTACCCCATCTGCAGGGGATACATTCCAAGACCCCCAGTGCATGCCCCAAACCATATAGCACCAAACACACTCTCTCTGTGTGTGTGTCTCTTTCTCTAAATTTTATTGTGCTTTCATCTTCTCACTTAAGGGACGCACTTGGCATACCTGAGGTGCCAGCATCACTACTCTTGCATTTTGGGGCCATTATCAAGTAAAATAAAGATTACCTGAACACAACTCTGATACGAAGGTAGTCAGTCTAATAGCTGAGATGGCTACACGGTGACTAACAGGTTGGTAATACAACGGCATGGACACAAAGGATAATTCACGTCCCAGGCTGGATGGAGCAGGACACACAGGATGGCTCAAGACTTCCTCACATCACACAATTTTAAATACATGAATTTTTTTCTTTCTGGAACTTCCCATTTAATATGTTTGGAAGACAGCTGGCTATGAAGTTGAAACCAAAAAGAGCCAAAACCAGACAAGGAAGGAGGGACCAAGGTGGTCAAACTCACAAGGAGGGAGCCGTGAATGGTTTTGGGGGCTGGGGAGAAGGAAGTGCCCAGCTGCTGTTCAGAGGGAATAAAGTTCCAGTTATACAAGATGAGTAAGTTCTAGAGATCAGACAAGACTGTATTGGCATTTTAAAATGTGTTGGGAGGAAGAACTCACATTGAGCTTTTACCACAATGAAGACAGAAGGAATGACCTAAGAGGAATCTTTAGGAAGAGACTCCAGAAAAACTCTGAATCAGGGCTCAGGGACCTCTTTTAAGAACACATGGGAAACCTTTAGTTTTAATTTAGGAGCAGCTTGAAATTTTTAAACTTCCCCTTTGTTGGATTTTATTCCCCATTTCTCTGTAGCTTCTGGAAGTAAACATTCTTTTAAAATCTTAAAAATAATATAATGAATTGGGGGAAAAATAGAACAAAATAAAAAATAATTGAAGGAGTTTTGGTGGCCTCAGATGGAGCAGTTTTCCAAAGGTCTGGAAGGGGAGATGGAAACGAGATTTCCTGGGTTGAGGGAGAGACATGAGCATAGCTTACTTCTTCCAGAAGCCTGTGTGACCAAGCAAAGAGTGCAGGGCAGTTCACAATCAGGATGAAGGGAAGGAATTCTCCTCTGGAGTTTATTTCTTTTTAACAGATGAAACCAAAGCATGTGTCTTATCCTGTTTTCCATAGCTATAACAGAATACCTGAGACTGGAAAAATTACAAAGAAAAGAACTTTATTTTGGCTCATGATTCTAGAGGCTGGAAATCCAAGTGCAAGGCACTGGTGAGGGCCTCTGGACATTTTAGTCATGGTAGAGAGAAGGGCGAGTGGACACAGACAAAGACAGCAAGCCCGAGGGGCGGTGCTGCTCGGTAGCCACACGCTCTAACAGAACCAGTGCTCTCTCGATAACTCACTCAGGCCTCCTAAGTGACAGTGCCCGGATTCACACCAGGTAACCCAGACCCTGCCGGCTCGAACAGGGCTTCCTGCTACCCTGAGTCTGCAAGAGTAAAAAGGGCTGAGAAGACTGCCCATCCAACTACCAATGCCTGCTTACAGTAGATTTTAATGACTTTTCTTTCAGCAGTAATTCATCAGTTAGCCATTTTTCTGTTAGAATGCTAAATTCTGGCCTGTTCTCCCATACTTCACAACTCAAGGTCCCCCAAACTTCAAAACTATGGGTCCAATAAGAAATAAGTTATGTTTTGAAAAGGTCTCCACCAGACAGACTCCAAAGCAGTGTCCCAGTTGGACAACTGTAAATATGTCCTCAATCCCTGATCTCTGCCCCTCCCAATTACCAAATTACAGCTCACCCTACAAAAGTCATAACTTGGTCGCCACAGCCTGCCGCTGTCTCTCCAAGAGCAAAGCCTGCCACCTCGCCTTGCCACTTCTGCACACAGCCAGAGCCACTCAAACTGGCATCTCAGCTCTGACTGGTAAGCGTGAGATCCTCTCACAGCCCTACAATAAGCAGTGTCCCAAAGGCCAGTGTTCAAAAAATTCTTCAGGCTTTTCCTGGGCTCAGCCAGGACTGGTCAATTCACAGCATTCTGAGGATTCACTGTGTATGTGTTTGACCAAGATGATGTGGAGAAGACTCCAAAAGACGATGGGACGTGAAAAAGACTAAAGACAGCAGGGAAGTGAGGGAGGGGCATGAGGAATGGCTGGAAGTCAATCAAAAATGTCAGAAACAAATTTCTGTTTTGTTTCCAAGGAATATTTGTGTTTCCAAGTGGCCGTGATGGTCAGGAGCTGAGACAGAATGGCACAGAAGTGGCATTCCTCAGATCCTGAGGGCTGCTCACACAATGAGGAAGGTGTGGTGGTAAGGAGAGATTCCAGGTCAGGAGCCCCTGTAATGCTCTAGAGCAGCTTTGTGCAAGAGCCGATAGCAAGTCTTCCCCTTATCAGGGGACATGTGCATTTTCAGAAGCTCGGGTGTCCCCACAGAGATCCAACAGACTTGATGGAAGGAGGCCTGGCTGGTAAGGAGGAAACACACACCAAGCAAGGTGGAAAAGCAGCTTCTAACACACATGCACTCACACACACTCACACACACACATCATGGTATCCCATAACTGTTCCTTTGAGTCTAGATAACCAACTTGTCACCTGCAATGGCCAGTCACTCATTTCTCTAAAAGGGCTTTTTTTCTTTTCTTCGTTCACCTTTGCCCACAGCTACCACTGGGCCTCAATTTGCTCATCTGAAAAACTCCAAGCAGGAGCCCATGGCCTTCAAGGCTCTCAGATCCCACCCTGCCCAGCTTTCCTTAGCCACATGCACACTCACTCTGGGTTCATCGTACTGGACATAAAACACAAGCCCATCCTTGAGTCCACAAAGTCAAAGCCAAAGCCAAACCCCTCTGAATACCAAATCTTCTAGAACTCACCTCATAGAGAAATAAAATCTGACAAAGGCACCTGTTAGCCAGACCCGTACAGGCCTAAAGATGGCAATTACACTCTCCTCCCTCGGCTTGCCCTCCCCTGGGGAGGGCACATACTTTAGAGTTTAGACCCCGGGCCCCAAGGGGCTCTGATCATCAAGTCACAACACTATGAAGCAAGGGCTATGACTTTAGAAAGGAGGAAACAGGTTGGGGGAGGGAATGGCACTTGTCGAAGGTCACATGGTTAAAACATGGACAAGAACCTGGACAAAACCCAGGTGTACCTTGTTTCAGGACTGTGTAACAAATCCATATTCTGCCTCATAGTCCTACTTCTGTAGTGCTAGGACTTCCTAACTCAAACAACACAATCTCCTCACTAAATTAATTGTTTAAACACAGTCTTAAGTCACTTACACTAGTAATAGTGGAGTAAGCAAAGCAAATTGTTTTAATTGTCGTTGTTGAGACAGGATCTTAGAATATGGCCCAAAACTCACAACTCTCCTGCCTCAGCCTCCTGCATGCCTGGCAATCAAAAAGAACTCTACAAAATAAAATCATCCCAAATTATCTCTATGTGGCTATGGAGATAACTAAATCCATAGAGCCCTAAGACCTTGCCCCACATTCTGGGAGCAGGTCATAACAAGAACTTTAAGATGGGCAGAATAAATTAGTGCATTACGGGCATTAGAGGACAATGCAGATCAAAATTATCAGTAAGTGCTAAACTCTGTAGTGAAACTTGAACTGCCCACTTCCAATCAGCTCCTAGATTAACAGTGCTGTGGTGGCACCCTCCCTCACAATGCAGCTGTGACAGGAGGGGGTGGAGGAACTCTATACAGGCCAGCAGAGTCCGCTGACCCACAAAACTAAATCCCACCCCTTCTATCCCCACTCCAACTGCATACAGTCCTTCAATTACTGTAATTCTGTCAAATGTCCCTGAAATGCCATGGGGATACATGAGCACCAAAGTCTGATTTGGGCAGCAAGGACCACTCTGGAAGCAGATGGGGTTCTGACGACTTTCCCAGTGAAACAGACATTAACCAGCCATGCTAGGAGCTGAACCCACGGTTTCCAGCTCATATGGCTAATGTATCCCTGAAAAAGTACCATCATTAATGATGGTTATCGTCTGTAATTGGAAAGTACACTTCATTCAATTTTCAGCCCAACTGTTCAAAAGGAATGTTTGGGGCACAGCCTCTCCCTAGACTGGGATTTCCTTTTGGGAGCACCCTAAGGGTTGGGAAGGGAAATAAGAAAGCAATTCAGCAAGAAAGAGCGCTTAGTGTTGGGTCTCCAAAGAAAAGTTCTACTTGCCTGGAAAAACGGGGGAAATAAATATTCTTAACAAGAAGGAGGTTAGGAGACAAAGCAGAATCATTCCTGAACCCCAGGTTGCTACTAGAACAAAGGACTGAAACTACAGTGACGTCAATATAAAGAACTTTTTTAAACAAAATGTAATCTAAATATTTACCATCCCCAGTTTCGATTTAAATTC